CGACGTGGGATGCAGGTTTGGTATTCTGCCTCCTTGTTTGCCTCCCGGAGGATGGGTCATGATTGTGGTGGCAACGCCAGAGATAACAAGTTACATACACTGGGCGAGTGAAAAGAGAGCCGTACGAATCATAATGAATTGCCCTGATGAGAGCGATGTGAAGGCAATGTGCGTTTGGAAGAAGCGCAATCAACCCGTGTAGCAAGCGGAATACTGGCGAGAGGTGAAGGGTCACATGGATAAAGTGGGACCGATTCTTCGCTACATCTTTGATGAGGGAGATTATAACCATTGGATTGGAGATTGTCACAACCTTGTGGATAGGACGCCCTTTTGGGGAATCGAGCGTTACTTTGTTTTTGGAACTTCCAAACTGTGGGAGGGTAATAAGGCGCTCGAATATCTTGCGAGGATTGTCCGAGTACGAGGAGAACGCAATGGCGAGTCGCCTTTCAATGCACCGATAACTGCCCACCTCGCAATTAAAACACTGTGCAAGTTGAAAAAGTTAATGACGCAGGCTGAGTTTAACTTATTTGAATCGAGGATCAGGGATTATCTCATATACGCAATTTTTTGGGAAGAGCACAGTGTTTGCATTTTTGAATGTGGCTTTCATGGCTGCAATAATTTGTAAACTGAAGGAGCTGAGGCCACCAACACGACGTCAGTCACACCGCTGTGCACCGGAGGTGTAATAACGGGAGGGCCCCACCAGCCACTATTTTTTGCCGTCGGTGGAACACATTGACAAGAAGACTTGTATAAACCACCGGCTGCTGTAAATACCGGAGGTCGAGAAATTCCCGTTGTTGAATGCCTTTTTCTTCATGGACCCAAATCCAAGGACGCTGGTCGGGCTGCGGATGGCTACGGCGAGTGAGCATCACACCGCCGCCAGCACTGTGAGGCAGTTCACTGAGTGCCTGGCGGCATATTTTAATGGCTGGGAGGAATTATTCCGAGACATGTCGTGGGGGATTATTTATGTGCAGTACGCAGACAATACGCCGATGAATGGCTGGCAGAGATGTGATGATGACAATTCCGACAATGTGGGCGACGATGAAAAAGAGATGGCGGCGTTTTGGAGGGAAAAGGTGCGCCAGTACCAAGTGTCAATATCGTCCGGAGACTTTAGAAGAGACAAGGCTCATCGAATTGTGGAGGAACCACGGAAATAGTAAAACGAATTGGGGGATGAAAAGGGGCGGTTTTGATTTCTGGTAAAAAATATTGTGAGATATATATATTTTTTGATAATTTTGTGTGCATACGAGGCGGGTGCACCAGCACCGTGCGGCAGCACCGCACACGAATGCCAAAAATGTCCAACGCTATCGAACATAGCACTGACAGAAGAAAATTAGGGAGGGAGTGGGGTTGTTTGGTTTTTGGTGAAAAACATTGGGTGATTTTCATATAGTATGTTAGTTGTGTGTGTGTATAAGAGGCATAATTGGAGAATTGCCCCGGTATGAGGGAATCATTGTGGCTGGCGGTGTCACGGCGTTACTGCATCGTCCATTTCCTTCTATTGTGTTCTAAGTCCCATCAATAACAGAAGCATCTTTAAGGGATGGACAAAGAATAAGTTCTATTGAGGAAGCAGTGCGCTCCGTGTGACCGCATGGAGTGAGGCGCCGCATCCCATTGAGGGCGAGACGGCATTTTTGTGCTGGTGCCATCATTGATTCCACTTGCGATTTCGTGCTTGAGTGCGACATCGTGGCGCCAGGATCCAGCACCCCGTATTGCCGGGAGAAGCCAAGAGCCGGCAATATTTCCCTCATGGGATTGTTGTTGTTTGCGCAATGCTGACGGCATCTACCGGCACCCAGACCAGCCGCGTCGTGTCGGAACACAGTTGTGGCACTACGAGGTGTGAGGGCACGTGCTACCGCAGTGCGGACTATCGGATTTATTTGAGAAAGCACGAGGGAAACTATGTAAGCAAATCCGTGTGTGCTGCAGCAAACTGGCGCGGATGCTCTCTTTATTGAGACGGGACGATGAGATGGTACGCCCTGTGCCTGTTGCCATGCACTCTCATAGGAACGTGTTTAATATAGCGCGTCCTTTTGTGCAAAATCTCCGTGTGCTAACGCGACA